ACCAGACTAGTGTATGACTTGCCATACTATTCAAACTAAGTATGCTTAATTTAGATATATTTTGATGTAGGGCTTACTACTGATTTTCAAACGTAAATCTTTTTGAGCGTTCATACCATAGAGATTGTGGTTTCTTAATAGCAGAGAAAACTCAGTAAAGGGTTGCCACTGATTTCCCATACTTATTTATATTATTTTTTCATTATATTTTATAGAAATGCTATTTCCAAGCTTGATCGGTCTGAATGGTTAGTTTCACTAATTCATTAATTTAGCCATATTTTAGTACAGCGTTGCCACTGCATACAATTTTTTTTCAATCTATTTTATAGAAGTTATGATGCCCAAACATAATTATACTACTTTGAAATTTTTTTATTCTTTTTTTTTTGTTGCTTAGTTAAATTAATGAGTTCTTTTTTAAAGTTTCAACACCATTTTTTATCGCTACCAAAATAATTTGATCAGACATTCAATTCGAAACATTCAGTAGAAGAATATCAAAAATTCGAATATTTTTTTAATAGCTACCAATTACCAATTAAATATATTTTATTATGAATCCTTTTTATTATCGGTCATTTTAAATTTTGAATTTTGTATACATTTTTATATTTTTTTTTCCTTTAAGATTTTTAAGTTTTTCATTTCATTTTTTATTTATTCTTTAACTTTTTAATTTCATTAATGAAATATTTTATATTTTTTACAATCTTTTTAATTTGTTTTTTAAGTCTTTAATTTTTAAGTTCCTACTTTGGTTTTTGAAATTTTTGTATTATTTTTAAAGATTTTCATTTCATTTTTTTCATTTATTTTTTAACTTTTTAATTCCGTTAATTTATTTTTTATATTTTTATTTTATTTAAAAATATCTCATGACATTAAATTTTGGCCGAAAATCGCTTCAGCGGTTACAAAGCGCCAACAATATCATAAATATATTAAAATTTTACTCAAAAGTCTAGTTTCGCTTTTTGTTTTTGTTTTCTTTAATACTTTTCAGTGTATAATTTTTCTTTTTTACAATTCTTCTTTAGTCTTTCGATATTTCTAAAGACAGAAATTTTAAAAGTTATTCATTCAGATCAAAAATTAATTAATAAAAATATAACAAAAAAAAAATCCAAATAGAAACCTTGAACTATTTTGAATTTTTTTTTGTCGTTAATTTATAGATATTTTTCTTTTATTTGAATGATTAATTTTTATAATTTCTATCGTCTGTAAAAATATCGCATGGTAATAAATTCTTCCTCAAAAAATTTGTTTCTTTTTTATTTTATTTTATTTAATTATTTTGGTGTATCATAAATTTCCTTCTTCATTTGTTTTTTAAAGTTACATTTTTATATTTTTAAAAAGTCTTCGTTGAAGGTTATTTATTATTTTCTCTTATTTTTGCCAATTTTTTATTATTTTTTCTTTTCAATTTATTTCAAACCTTTTTGATATTTCAAATTTTTACAAAAAAAAATTTTAAATATTTTTTACATTTATTTCTCCTTATGCTTTCGTTATTTAGTTTTTCTTCTAAGCTTTTTTTATTTATATATATATTATTATATATTTGCCAATTTAACTATTTCTTAGTTTTTATATTCGCGCCTTCTTTTTTATTTTTTATTTTTTTGCATAAATTTTTGTCAACAAATTTATTGCCAAAACTTGCAAATTTATTACAATTGTTTTCCATTATTAAATTATGGACACTTATGGTGTTGTTTTAAACATTAATATGTCCAAACTTGAGCATTGACTTCGACTTCCGACTTAATAATCTGCTGCAAAAGCTAGCTAAAGTGCATATAGGTATGTGTGTGTGTATGTGGAAATAAATAGCTTTCGATGTCGAGTTTTTGAAAGAAAAAAACACAATCAAAGATTATATTCTAAAATATTAATACACTGAAACTCTTCATATAACTACCGAAAATATAAAATTTTTAAAATTTTGATTTCAATTTACATGCAAAAAAAAAATTCGAAAATAAATAGAAGTTACCAAGAAAAATAATTTCTAATATTTTTTATATTTAAATGTTAAGAAAAAAAATATAATTCACGTTCAACAAATAACTCAGCAAATTAAAGACGGTAAAAAAATAAAATTATTAATTTTAATTATATATCTTTTCTATTTTATTTTTATTTATTTTTTTCTGCATACTTTTTGCATTTATCGCCAGCAATTTTACAAAAACAAAAAACAAAATTACATATGTTCATAGAAAAATGGCAATAAACATACATATTTGCATGCGCATAAAAATTTATGTGTAAAAGTCGCATGCAAGATAAGTACCACAGACATACATACATAGGTACTACCTGGAAATACGAATAGTGTCAAAGTAAAAGAATAATTGCTACAGCACATTAGTAATAAAAACTAAAATTACCTCCCACACACACACATACACAGAAACAAATGTATGATCCATTTATAAATATGTATATTAAAATGTTTAGCAATAAAATCATGCTCGCATATAATTATGTTTATGTGTGCACAGATATATATTTGCAAATATGTGCAAAGGAACATATGGATTTTATTGTACAAATATATATCTAATATATACATGCATACATATGTATATGATTGTGTGCTTAATAAAAATTCATAGCATATATTTTTATATATCACCGCTCGCTATGATATTATTAGTTTATTTTTAAGGTCAACAGGAAAACTGTAAAACTTGTCTAATGAGTTTGACTAAATTCGCACGTTTGCTAAGCGTTTTCACACACATACACACACACACTTATACACATATGTGCACCAACGCACACACATTTGTACATGTGGTTATGTGTGGCTTCGCACACACCCACTACGTTTATGAATAGGAGCAGCGACTAGCAACAATAGTCTTCTACTACTTTTAAGTATAGTTTTAGTGTTTTTTTTTTCAATATTTAAAAAAAATAATAATAGTTTACTTATGTAGAACATTATCAATTTTTTTTGTTTTATTTTTATTTTTTTTTTTTTTTGTTATTCTACAACTAATAATAAACTTTTAGAATTTTCAACAGATGTGTTTATGCGCATACTTTTATAGGCTTAAGCATTTTCTTAAATTAAATGTCAGGTTCAAGTTGAGAAATAATTGAGTGGGTGGCGACAATTAAATAGTTGTTTTGTAGTAATTCACATAAATAACCATTTCATAGGTGACTACATATTTTATACTGGCGAAAAATGTTTGTACTTTTGTTCAAAAAAAAAAAAACTTAATACTACAAAAATAAAATCAAATGAAAAGATTAATAAAAATTTAAAAAAGAAGTAAAATAAAATTATAACCAAAATATATAATTCAAATAAGAAACAATAAATATTAAAAAATTAAAAAATAAAAATAAAATAAAACAAAATAAAATAGAATTAAAAAAAATAAAGTAAAATGAAATAATATTAAAAAATAAAATAAAATAAAATCAAATAAAATAAAAAAAAAATAAAATAAAATAAAATAAAAAAACATAAAATAAAATAAAATAAAATAAAATAAAATAAAATAAAATAAAATAAAATAAAATAAAATAAAATAAAATAAAATAAATAAAATAAAAAAAAATAAAATAAAAAAATAAAATAAAATAAATTAAAAGTAAAATAAAATAAAATAAATTTAATTAAAATAAGATGCAATAGAAAATAAAAAAATATTAAAATTAAAAAAAAAACACACAATTAAATAAAATGAATTAATTCAAATAATAAAATATGAAATGGATGCAAATATAAAAAAATTAAACTAATATTATAAGTAATAAAATTTAAATAAAACTATGCAATAAAATGAAATATTACACATAGTACAATTCCCGCCATTTTAACGAACGAAAGTTCGTAGCTGCCAAACTTGGTGCTTACAAATTGTACGCCATGTAAATTGATATCAACGCTTAATGGTGTAACAGTTGGCGCCATTCATGCATTACATACACATAACCATATTAAAAGGGAATGCGTATAATTTTTTCAACATCTCTATAAAATTTTAAACACATTTACTAGAGCGGTCGTGAAAATGACAAACTTTCAGCGCGAAAATGTTGAGAGCTTATATTCTACCATTTTGTTATATTTAATTTTTTTTCAATTTAATTTAGTTGCTTTGAACTTAGTTTAATTAAATTTAATCAATTTTTTTTTATATTTTACAAATTGATTTTTCTTTAGTAGTTTTAGATTAGTTTTTTTTGTATTTTATACGTGTAAATTAATTTTTTTAATTTGGTTAATTCTTTTTTAAATTTTTGCTTATATTTTTATTTAGTTTATATTAATTGGTTGTATTATTTTTTGTTTTATTTCAAGCATCCATCTGTTTTTCTATGCGTATTTTCTTAGAAAGATTCGCTTCGTGGAAATGTGAGAACAAAATTTATATTTCGCCGATCACCCTAATGAATCACATTTATATATGTATCGTTGTTACAACGAATAACAGTTGTCAATGTCAAGCAGTTTGAATTACATACATTTTAAAGCTACTTGGGAGGTGTGAATTCTGGATTTCTTTTTCGTTTTTTTTTTTTTAATTATTTCCCTTCCTTCTTTTACTTTCTGCGCTTTCTCAGCTATGCCCAGGTTCAAGTGCGATATGTAATTTGAGCTTTTGTGCTGCAAGGCTGCCTTGTAAGTGCCAAAATTGCTGATCTGCTGGTAGAAAAAAATTTTTTTCCTTCTGATTTCTCATTGTCTACATTTCGGCTTCTTGAATTCGGAGCACAGGCTCCTAATATATACATATATTTTTACATATATATTTCTTAAAGCCGAACAGAATATCTTCAACATTTTTTAAACTAATTTATTTATAAGTTAAACCTTAAAATATTTTCCTTAAAAAATTTTTCTAAAAAATATTTTTATGTAATAAATTTATTTCTTTTTTCATAAAAATTTAAAATTTCTTCAAAATATAGTACGTTCATTAACTTACCATTTTGCCTCCTCTCCCCCTCTCTCCTCGTTGCAGGAATTATGACACTGAGCCGTGGCCCGTACAGCGAGCTCGATAAAATGAGCCTTTTTCAGGATCTAAAACTGAAACGACGAAAAATCGATTCAAGATGCAGCAGTGATGGCGAATCAGTAGCCGATACCTCCACCTCCTCGCCCGATCTACTCGCACCGATGTCGCCGAAAATGTGTGATACCGGTGGGGCCGGCGCAGGCGGTGGCGGCACACATGGCAGCGGCGGTGCACTCTCCTCTCTGCCATTGCCCACCGCCGTGGTAACGCTGACGGCAACCTCCACCATTGCACCTAACAGCGTAGCCTCAGCCACTGTCTGCTCCAGCAGCATGACAACTGCCACCAGCAGTATAACCGGTCACAATGTATGCGCGCCAACGCCACCGCCCAGCAGTGCCGCTACAGCGGTCGTTGTAGCCGCCGGCAAAGCGGCAACAATGAAGGGTGAGCAGCAGAAGCACCAGCAGCAGCAACAACAACAGACTGAAATTCACTCGTCCAGCGGTGCTGTAAGCGCAGCAGCCGCCTCGTCTGTGATGTCACCACCACCGCCGTCAACCGCAACTGTGCGCATGTCACCAGCGCCAGCGACTGATTTGAGCTTGCCGGCGGGAAGACGTACGCCGAGCAATACAACACCGACACGTGCCACACCGACGCCACCGCATAATAATGGCAATGCGAGCAGTAGTTGTGGCACAAGTAATGGCGGTGGCAGCAGTCGAGCGTCACCAGACTCAATGGATGAGCGTCCGTCGACGACGACGAGCACCACCACAACGGCCGGTACACAAATGTCTACGAATGGCATACACGGTGGTGGTGCGAATAGCGGCTTGGGTCACGCAGCGAACAGCGCGAGTGGTGAATGCATGTCGGCCGCGGGTGGTGGAGAGTGTGGCGTAGGCGGCAATTTGAGTGTCATACGTTCCGTGAAAGAGGAACGCATTGCAGCGTCGCCAACAAAAATGCTATCCTTTCAGCAGCAACAGCAAATGCAATATCAACAGCATACGCAATCCGCGCCATCGCCCACACAATCCAAAGGTGTCACGCAGTCGCAGCAACACGTGAGTGTGCTGGTGACACCATCACGCATAAAGTCTGAATTATCACCGCAACAACAGCAGCAGCAGCAACAGCATGTGCCACAAATGCCGCCCTCATCGCTGCCGGCGCATCTCACACACCACCCAGCCTATTCCACGTCGTCGTCCGCGCCAGCCGCCTCGTCGTCGACATCCATCTCCGGCACAGTGACCACAACGAGCAGCGTCAGCTCTGCATCGTTGCATGCGAGCTCGCCATCTCCCACGCCATTGCCGTCAGCGGCGGCAACGTCGCTTCATTCACATATACACCCACACCCGCCACCGCCCATCGTACAGACACATCATCTACATCAGCAGCTCACACAACCGCAACTGCGCAAGAGCAGTCCACCCTCGGGCTTGGCACTGCCGCAACAGAATTTATTCAATCAATCCATGCAACACTTGACCCAACAGCAACAACTGCAGCTGCTGCAACAGGCGGCCGCGATGTCACGCCCGACACAAATGTCGCCAAATGCCATCAGCTCGTCACCGAGCTCGCGCCACCAGTCCAGCGCTTCGTCGCCACACCAGCATCTGCTGCAGCAGCACCATCACCAGCAACAACAACAACAGCAGCAGCAACAACAGCCACAGCATTTACGCATCAAGAAGGAGCCGGCGCAGTTGTTGGCGGCGGCCGCGGGCAGCTTACTGGGTAATAGCGGCGGTGCTCAACGTCACCTGCACTCGCCCCACCACCACCACCCATCGTCGCCGCAGCATCAGCAGCAGCAACAGCAAACGCCACCACAACTGCCGCCACAGGCGCTCAGCAACATAGCGCAACTGATACATCCGGCGTCGCTGCAATTGCGTCATCCCAACCGTGATGCGGCCATTCTCTTTCGCGTAAAGAACGAGGTGCATCAGCAAGTGGCAGCCGCGCAGCTAATGCAACCCGGCGCAGCAGCAGCTGCTGCAGCGGCTGCACAACGCATGGTCTGGGTCTCGAATGCGCGCATAAATGGCGTTAAACCGGAAGTTATTGGTGGTCCACTGGGCAGCTTGCGACCCGGTGGTCCAGCGCAATCGCCTTCGCCACACCACTCTTCGTCCTCCTCGTCGTCACAACTGTCGCCACAAACGCCTTCACAAACACCGCCGCGCGGCACGCCAACCGTCATCATGGGCGAGAGCTGTGGCGTGCGCACAATGGTTTGGAGTTACGAGCCTGCACCACCAACAGCTGGTCCCTCACCCACCCACAGCGGTAGCAATAGTAATAGCGGTGGTGGTCTCCATCAGACGCCGCCCTCAACGCCACAGCACCAGCATGCCCAGCAGCAGCAGCACCCACATCAGCACCAACCGCAGCCCTCCTCTATGTCATCGCTCTCACAACAGTCACATCACTCGTCACAGTCATCATTACAGTCGGCCTCTTCGCCATCGGCGGGCTCTATAACGCCCACACATACGCCAGGACCATCGCCGCAAAACAACGAGGAAGCTGCACAACTGCTGCTCTCACTCGGCCAGACACGCATACAGGATGTACGGCCACGGCCACATCAGTTTCGTACGCCACACGCGCTCAATATGGAACGTCTGTGGGCGGGCGACTATTCACAGTTGCCGCCCGGGCAAATACATGCGCTGAACTTGAGCGCCCAACAGCAATGGGGCAACTCGAATGCGACGGGCTTAAATCGTGGCTTGGATATGCCACACGAGCCGACGGACGAAGACGATCAACCATTGGTGTGCATGATCTGTGAGGACAAGGCGACCGGCTTGCATTATGGGATCATCACATGCGAGGGGTGAGTTGGAGGAACTTGTAAGGAAGATTGGGTTTGATAATTTAAATACGCTTTTTCTTACAGTTGCAAGGGTTTCTTCAAACGCACCGTGCAGAATCGGCGTGTCTACACTTGCGTGGCTGACGGCACCTGCGAAATAACCAAAGCACAACGTAACCGGTGTCAGTATTGTCGATTTAGAAAGTGCATTGAGCAGGGCATGGTGTTGCAAGGTGAGTGCGTTCCACAAATATATAGAACTCTTTTACTTAACTCGTGCTCTCTCTCTACTTTCTCTCCTTCGCTGAACTTCAGCCGTACGCGAGGATCGCATGCCGGGCGGACGCAACAGCGGCGCCGTCTACAATCTCTACAAGGTCAAGTATAAGAAACACAAAAAGTCCAAACAGCAGCAGCAGCAACAACAACAATCCCAACAACAGCACATGCACTCGCCACACCATCAGTCGCCGCTCTCGCCACACCACCAACAACATCTGCTCTCACCACAACAACAACTGCATCAGCACCAGCAACAATTGGCCGCAGCGGCTGCCGTCGCCGCCGCCGCACAGCATCAGCATTCGAAACTGTTGTCCGCCACGCTGGGACAGGGTGAAATGAAGCCCATGTTCTTGGGCCCCTCCATCAAGCAGGAGCACCTCCAACAGCAGCAACAGCAGCAGCAACAGCAACAACATGCACAACAGCAGGCCGCTAACCAACTGCATTCACCACATCACCAACAGTTGAACTCGCCACACCACACATTGCATGGCTCGCCGCACGGCTCGCTGCCAACGCACTCCAGCTCGGTCAGCTCGCTACACAGCCCGCTCTCACACGCCGGTGGCCCAACGTCTTTACCGCCGCACACCTCCTCATCATCCTCATCCTCTTCGTCGGCCTCATCGGGTGGCAGCTCGCAACAGGGTTCGTCGCATCATGCGCTGCACTCACCGCTACATCATCTATCCCATGGCCATCATCTACAAACGAACGCCACACATCCGCCAGCGCACGCGCCGCAGCTGCAGCTGCATCAGCAACACCAACAGCAACAGCAGCAGCAGCAACACGCACAGGCGGCGGCTGCAGCGGCGGCGGCGGCATCGCAACTGCAAGAGACTGCCATCAAATTGCCCTCGCATTTGGTTAACGGTACAATACTTAAGACTGCCCTCACGAATCCCAGCGAAATCGTGCATTTACGTCATCGTCTCGATTCCGCGGTGAGCTCGTCGAAGGATCGTCAGATCTCGTATGAGCATGCGCTCTCCATGATACAAACCCTCATCGACTGTGATGCCATGGAAGACATCGCCACATTGCCGCATTTCTCGGAGTTTCTCGAAGACAAGTCGGAAATTAGCGAAAAGCTCTGCAATATTGGCGATTCCATTGTGCATAAGCTGGTGTCGTGGACAAAGAAGCTGCCGTTCTATCTGGAGATACCCGTCGAGATACACACCAAGCTGCTGACGGACAAATGGCATGAGATACTCATACTCACCACGGCGGCGTACCAGGCATTGCATGGCAAGCGCAACACGCCCAGCACAACAACACCCGGTGGCGTTGGTGGCGCTTCGTCCACCACCAGCACGAGTGGCCGCACCAGCATTGGTGGTGCACAACCACCACACTCGCCCGTTGGCTCAGCCAATCATCACCACAATCATCATCATCACACGCAACACATGACCGGTTCACCGCATGCGACGAGTAGCAGTATAAATTTGCTCCATCATCATCATCAGCAGCATCAAATGCATGGCGGTGCCAGCTCACCACCTCTACCAAAGGAAGATCCCGAGTTCGTTGACGAGGTAAATGCTCACCTGCTGACGTTGCAAACGTGCCTCACCACGCTGATGGGTCAACCCATCGCTATGGAGCAGTTGAAGTTGGATGTGGGTCATATGGTGGACAAAATGACACAGATCACCATCATGTTTCGCCGTATCAAGCTCAAGATGGAGGAGTATGTTTGTCTCAAGGTGTACATTTTGCTGAATAAAGGTGAGTAGTGTGTGTGCGCCTTAGTAGCAAGCGGAGTTTATGTACTACAATAACAACTAATCTCTTTTTATCTCTCCCTCTTTAGCAGAAGTGGAACTGGAGAGCATACAGGAACGTTACGTGCAGGTTCTTCGCACGTATTTGCAGCACTCCTCGTCGCAGAATCCACAAGCGCGTCTGACGGAATTGTTGTCTCACATACCCGAGGTAAGTCTAGAGCTTTTCGTGTTAAGTACTTTAACCGAAGACCTCCGAAAATGCTCGGGAGATCCTAAAATAGTTGAAATTCGGCTTTAAGTTGGAGCTCTTCCTATGAGCCTTTCATATCTGAGTGGGGAAGCTGAATTTGGCTATACTACTCAATCACCCTCAGAGTGCCGATGTCGCAGATTCCGATTTTCATCTTTTACTCACTCAGCTAGTGCTGCGATTCCCTTATAAATGGGCGTAGAAGCTGCGGATTCCGATTCTCAATTGGCATCCCTGCATAGTAGCTATAAGATGTAGGGTTCTAAATTCAGGGCTGATCTTCTGGGTAATTGGTTCATCCGTAAGGCATATCGGCTCTTCTATTCCGGTTACTAAGAGCCAATTATATCCTTTCTTGTCGTAAGATTTGCATACGTGCCTGACGACTGGACCTATCACAAGTCGGACTTGGACCTGATTATGAAAACTACGGATCCTTCAAGCTCCGGGTGGGCCATGAGTACGTCACGTCAGGAAGTATCTTAGTGATGGCATGCAACTTTCGCAACGAGTCTCCGAACTATTGAAGCTCTGTACTGTTTTGTGGAGCGTGCTCCTCTGGGAATGTCGTGAGCATTACAAAAGATCCGTCCGATGAACTTTGTAGTGTTAGCTATCGTTCCTAGGCGATTAGTTAGCATTGCGTACTGTCATTCTAAAGACTGGGGTTCAAGTCCTGGTTCGATTGGGGTGATTTTAATAGCCTGAGCTGTACTTCGGCAGGACCAGAATGTCCCACCTGCAGATCTCAGTATGTCGAACTACTGAATATACCTTCTAGGCTGTAGTAATAAGGCTAGGTGTGCTAGAGGGGACTTAGAGATTCAAGTCTTAAGACACTTAGGAAGCAATACCGAAGCTGAAGCTACTAATTTTCAACTCTCTCTCTATTTTTCTCTTTTTTTCTTTCTCTCTCTCTTCTAGATCCAAGCTGCTGCTAGTCTATTACTCGAAAGTAAAATGTTTTACGTTCCCTTCGTCTTGAATTCGGCCAGCATAAGGTAGCAAATGCTTGAACGCGGACTACTGCCGATCGATGATGATCCGCCTAAGCGGTTAATGACGATTATACAACAGCAGCAACAACAAGAGCAGCAGCAGCAGCAGCAACAGCAGCAGCAAGAGCAGCCCAGAGAAGACGACGATGAAGATGAAGAGGTAAACAAAGTGGAGCACCACCAACAACAAAACGCTAGTAATTTAATGAAGGCACGACGACGTGTCGCCACCCAAATGGCTGAGCGTCAGCAGAGACAAAAGGAGGAATTAAAAAAACAACAGCAAGAGCAACTGCAACAACGACAGACGTCCCAACAACAGCGACTGGAAGAGCAACAGCTACCGCAACCAGCCAGATTCTGCCTGCCCATGTTGGAGTTGCCGCGTATTAAAGTGGAAAATGTACAGAAAGAGCTGCTCTACTCCATGGAGGAGGATACAGCGGATAGTGAGGAGGAAGAGGAGGAGCTGCGCATTATGGAGGAGCGTCGACAACTCGAACGACGGCTGAAAGTCGAAGAGAGCTCGGCACAATTGCCTGCAATGTCGCGTCTAATGGAGCCCACCACCTCAATATTGAAGACTTCATTGCTAGCAGGTGCAGCAGCAACACTGGCAACGCTTACAGCAGCCGCTGAACAAGTGAATCGAACGTCATTATCGCCACAAGCACACGGCGACGGTGGTGGTGGTGGTGGCGGCGGCGGTCACAGTCGTGGATTGGGCGCGCGTACATTAAGTGCTGGGCGTCGTACGCCAGCGGTGGCGGAAAATAGTCTGATAGAGAGTAAAAGACTGCTAACACAACAGCAACAACAACAACAACAGCAACAACAACAAGATCAATGTGAAACACCTGCGGCGCCCATCATGCCTTATAAATCAATATTGCAGACGGCGCTTATGGGAGAGCGACCGCTAAGGTCTGAGACGCCACCACCGCCGCCATCGCCACAATCAACTGTTATGCGCGCTGCTGGAGCGCTCGCCAGTTTGCAAGCACAAACGACACCGCCGCCGCCGCCGCCGCCGCATGTGCTTAAGACGGCGGTGACGCTGGCAAGTTTAAGTGAAATTGCGGCAGCGCGCCAGCAACAGGAGGAGGAGGAGGAGCGTCTTATGCGCGAGCAACAACAACAACAACAACAACAACGGGAGCATTTATTATTACAACAAACACTGCCATTGAAGAAGAAGAAGAGTTTTCTGCAACAAAAGTTAACAGCAACATGCAACATGCTGACAACAGCGGCGACAATTTTACAGCAGCAGCAGCAGCAGCAACAACAACAACAACAGCATAAGCAACTGCCACAGAATACAATTACCATACTGCCAGTTGAAGCCAATAGCAACAAAAACAACAACCTCAACACTGCCATGTCAGCAACGAATGCAGCGACAACAGCAATAACAATGCCAACAACAGTAACGAAGTTTGTTTTAAATAATGTGATAGCGAGCGGAGCGGGTGGCAGTGGCGGTGGCGCCGGCGTATTGCGCTGCACCGCGTCCTCAGCGACAACAGCTGGAGCGGCAATAACAACAACAAAGCGTTCAACTGCCACATTTGTCAACAACACTATATTACGACCAACAACATTGACGTTGAGCAGCAGCGGCAGTGGCAGCCAAAGCAGAATGAGCGGCGTACAAAGCGCCACTGAAGCGTCAAACAAAAGCAACGCTAGCAACAATATTGTTAGCAACATTAAAAATATTGCCAACAGTTGTCAAGCGATTGCCACGCAAACCATAAAAATTCCCTCCGTACGAACGGCAACTGTGACAACGCAAACGCAGACGGATGAAATGCCGACAAGCGCAGCGCCAGCGACAGCAACAGCAACAAGTGGCGAGCAACAACAAGCGCCGAAGCAAACGCCTTTGCATGCATTGTCTGCCAGCAGTCATGTAATCACGCGTAAGCTTAGTACAGTGCTGCAACAACAACAACAACAATATGCTACCACCAACAGCGGCAACAGCACATCAGCAACATTGCTTACATTGCCCGTGCAACAACAGTCCATTTCAAGGCGTCGTCTGTCGCCACAGCGCCAAACCACATTAGTCACAGCCACAACGAATGCGTCAACCATTTGCGCTGCCGCTGCTCCGCCCACAACTGCAATTTCCACAGCCACCGCTGCCTCCCCGCCCTCCACAGCCGTTACTGTTGTTGTTTTTAAAACATTGTTACCTGATGACTGAATTAATTAATTAATTTTTGTTAACTACCGCCAGCAAAAGCTCAAAAGTTTATTTGCTGCGAAAAAAGCTCATGTGCTTTTGGCAGCAGAGCTTTCCATTCTCAATACCGTGTTTAATTATTGTTGTTTAGTCTAGTTTACATAGCAGTTTTACATATATGTATGTTGTAGCGTGTAAGTGTCAAAGCTCCGATAGAAGTACTAACCTCATTCAAGTAACTCCTTTGCCAGTACAGCTTTAAGCGAAATAAAAAAATGCATACATTGCCATTATTGGCGATTATGACATTTTCCAGTGGATTTTTTATGGGTTTGAAGGATAATTACTGTTAAATATTAGAGCTTTCAAAAACTTCAAAGCTTTTCATGTTATGCAATATCTTAAAAGTCCTTAAAGAAGCTTATGAAGCAAGCCTTCTTTGCCGGCAAATGAGCTTTAGAGCTCTCAAGCTTTTTGAAAAAGATATAATGATTTGAAGTAATGTCAAGAGCTTATAAAGATTTCTATGATTTCACAATTTCCCAAAGCTCCATAGAAATACTGAAAATTTAAAGCGCAGTAAAAATTTCGAAATTTTTAATTACAAAAATTGAAAAAATTCACGTGAACAAATTATTAATGAAAAAAGCTAAGCAAAATTTTAAATTTTGTTTATTAAGCTGAGTACGTATTTGAGCTTAAAAGCTTAATATAGGCAAAAGTAAAGAAATAATGGAAGTTTTGATAAAATGCTTTGGAAATAAAGCAAATGAAATATAAAAAATCTGCGCAACTTCAAAAAATGACGAAAGCTTAGTAAAGAGCTTTCACAAAGCTTAGCAAATTACGAATAGTTGGCTTCTAGTTAGTTTTTCACTATTTTATGTAAATTAATTTTCCGATTTTTTTGTTTTTTAACATTAACCATCAATTAAGCTTCTTGTTTTTGATTTTAACTTTATAGAATTTTTACAGGAAATTAATCCGGGTTCCTGGCTTTCTTTTACTTATTCTACTCTTGAAGCAATTCTTTTGCACTTAATGCTAATTTTGAGTAAGAAAATATTTACCCAATAGAAACCTACCCTTACAACAAAGAACTAAACCTTTTTTTTAATATCCATATATATATTTATATATATATAAATTCAGCGTTTTTTGTTATAGAAAAATTCTGCTTCGCTTAATCACTCAAATGATATTGCTGTAAATATTTAGCATACTTAGAAGTTTAAAATTTGTCTTTCTTTTCGAGCTTTTATGAGCTTTCCCTAAGCACTTTTCAGCTTTCACAACTTTCTCCTTGCATTATCCCCTTTCATTCTTTATTCACACAACTAATGCTTTTTAATTTTCAACTTTTCGTGTGTTTTATAGAGCTCTCGGCTAACTTTTTTGAGCTTTTTATGGATTCATAAAATTTGTATGCTTCTCAGGTGAACATTTTACTGCAATTATTGATAGAGTTGAACTTCTAAGTAACTGAACTGAATAATTTCAAATTTATCTAATTTTAAAATCCTCTTTTTCTTCTTATGCTTTAAGTGAATGTTGACTTGTTTTACGCTCTATATATTTTATTTTAATTTTTGTTATTTTATTTTATTTTATTTTATTTTATTTTATTTTTTTTATTTTATTTTATTTTATTTTGTTTTATATTTTGATTTTAAGAAATTTAATTTAATTATTTTTTTAAATTATATTTTATTTCTTTTAATTAATAAAGTACTTTTATTTGAATTTTTATTTGCTTAAATTTAATTTATAAAAAATTTTATATATCCATTTACTATGCAATTTTTTGCTTCAAACCCATAAAGAAAATCCACTAGTTTCTCCCGAACGACAACAGAACTACTCTGAATTTTCCACCTCCAACGTCTTTGCTGTTGTATGAGGAGACTTAAATCACACAAATATATTGTGACTCTTCATTTCCGCTTAACAATTATGGTTTAATGCATATTTTTCAACGAAAGGCCGACAGTAAAGGGAAGAAAATAAAAAAGATTTTTTGGTTCAATTGTTTTGAATCAAAAATAAATTTCTTGAGAAAGTTTCATTTTTTATATTTAGAGATTTTCTGTCATATTCTATTACTTTTCCCTATTTTCTGTGTATTTTATTTTTTTTTTAAATTATATTCTCAATATGCCGTTGAAAAATATGCCTCGCCTGCCGCGTGCTTACGCTCATTCATTATTTTCTCGCAGCATAAATACAAGATTATCAACAATTTATGGACTTTTTATTCATTGTAATTGTAAACATTGTTAGTAATAATTTTGTATTTAATATTTTTTTTTTAGTAAGTTTAAAACAAAAAAGCCGTAAAGTTACACAAGACCTTACGGCGCTGGACAGATGGACTTTTTAAATGTTAAATAAATATACATACATTATTACATATATTATGATAAATAGTATGTAGTTTTTATACTAAAAAAAAATCATAATAATACAAAAATGTTTAATAATATAATTAAAGTAAATTAATTGGAAATTTAAACTAAATATATGTAAAAGAAATATATTTAAATAGGAAATATGTTAGTTATAATTTACAATTATATATATAAATATATAGTTTAAGCAGAATAAATAAATTTTAAGCAAAAAAAAAATGTTCAGTTATGTGTAATAAAATTTGCTGAGAGCACGCAGTTGCATAAACGGAGTAAAACTTAATGTAAGAAATTAATAAATATAAATTAAATTTAATTAAAATTAATTTCATTAAAATTAATTAATGTGTGGACAGAAAATCATTGAAGCGGAAAATATGCATTCAAAATAAGAAATTTTGTCTTACAAAAGTGTAGCATAAAATTTGTGAAAAAAATTTGTCTCTTTGTAAAATCCGTAAAATTGAGAAATAAATGCATTTTAGCGCAAAAATAGAATTTTAAGGCAAACAGCAAAGTATAAATAAGTAAATCGTAAAAAAATTTTAATGAAAAAAATACAATTAAAAATTATTAGAAATAAAAATTAAAAATAAAAATATAAATAAAAATTTAAGGTAAAAAAACTAAAAAAAAAAATTATAAACAAAAATTATAAAGTTAATAAAAAATATTATTAACAAAAATAATGAGAAAAATTAAAAAAAAAAAATGCTTAATAAAACTCATGAGAAAAACATTGATTACAAATTATCAAATAAATTTTGCGCCAAGAACTGTAAAATATTGTGAAAAATTTGTAGAAAAATAAATACATAAAAAATAAAATAAATTCAAAGTGTTAAATGAAAATTTATTTAAAAACTACATAATTACCATAAAAAAATTAATTTTATTTTTTAATTAAATATTTTTTAAAATTTTTACATGCAAAAAAATTAGTTTAAATATCTTAACTACACATTACTCACTGTCAAATACAATTAATTAATTGGAAATTAATATATACATTTTTAGTATTTTAAATTTAAAAAAAAAAATTGTAATTTTCAATTCAAATAGTTTTAGAAAATTTGTGTTAAATAAAATAAATTTATATTAAATTAAATTAAAAATTTACAAAAACAAGCAAAATGTCTGAAAGTTAAGCACTGTACTATGTAATTTGTTAATTTGTATGTATGTAAGCGTAAATTTGGTTAGCCAGTAAGCATTACACACGTATGCATATACATATATGTATATGTATATGTACGTATATAGAAGTGTAAATGTATTTGAGCGAAAAATAAAAAGTAATTAAACAGCAAATTACATTTGTTAACTAAGCATTTGTACAAGATTTATTGAGCATTTTAATTTAAACATTTTTATTTTTAATTTTTTTTAAATTTTCTAATTTTTTTTTTAAATTTTTTTATTTAAAAGTAAATAAACGTTGAAAGAACGATAGAAAGAAACCAGCAAAACCACGCCCACATGCCTATATGCATGCATACACAAGCCGTTACATAAATGTATATACCAATATATATGTACATAAGTGTATGT